AGTGAATAACTATCATTAACTGAGTTACATATTTATTATTCAGTTTACTCTTACTCATCCACTAACTGTGGTGTCAGATGCGGTTTTGACCTCCATCAGTGTTTTTAACATCTATAAGACTCGACAGAATCTCACACAATCTGTGGCATAAATTGATAGACTGTTTCAGCTTTAGCAGCACATCATGCTGAATTACTGATCCTGAGCTGAACATTGTTTATACAAGTACCACAAGTTATTTATTCTGGTCTAAAGACTAAAAAGCTGTTTAATATTAAAGATAAAAGGTAAACTAAAACCACTTTGTCCTCTCTGACACTAAATATGTTTTAGCTGTTTTATGATTAAAAAATTATGTTTGTGATTATTAATCTGCAACCAACAACCTGCAGTATTTTATAATATGGTGGCCTTTAGCGTCATTGTGCAATATATGAACTGTGGATTACACTAGAGGCCACATCTGCATCTGACACCATATTTAGTGACTGAAAAAGTGTTGATTCAATTAGTGAATGAATGAATGAATAAATGAGATACTTACTGAATGAGTGAATGTTAGTCGCTGAACTGCTTTTCTGTTGTCATTTAAAAGTTTTTCATTTCCTGATGAACTGTGGCCTATTTGACGAGATGTTTCGCTGTTAAACGGCAAATCATAAATAATTTAGTTATGAAAATATTGTTTCTATATGTATTAATCATTATATATATAATATAAATGAGTCACTGGGCGTTGCAGGCACTGTTATTCAATGGTTCAGATCTTACCTCTCTGACAGATCATTCAGGGTGTCTTGGAGGGGAAAGGTGTCCAACCTACAGCATCTAAACACTGGGGTACCTCAAGGCTCTGTTCTTGGGCCACTTCTCTTCTCCATCTACACGACATCTCTAGGACCAGTCATTCAGAAACATGGATTCTCCTACCACTGCTATGCTGATGATACCCAACTATACCTCTCTTTTCACCCTGATGATCCCTCGGTTCCAGCTCGCATCTCAGCCTGCCTGTCGGACATTTCACACTGGATGAAAGATCCTCATCTTCAGCTTAACCTCACGAAAACAGAAATGCTTGGAGTTTCTTCCAACCCGACTCTGCACCACAGTTGCCTTTAAATAGCACAACATTGTGATTAACTATTCAGTACAATAAACTTTACTATGTGGTTCTAAAATACTATAGTATTTAGTTTAAATAACTATATTTTATTTGGGACCGTACTGCTGTTTATTTTTATCCAAACGGTGCCATAAGACCAATAAAAAGTCAACTTTACTTCATCATTTATCATTTCAGATGTATGGAGAGTCAAGAATCCTAATACCAATCAGTTCTCTTGGATCAAACCTAATGGGTCATCTAGGTCACGAACAGATTTTTGGCTCATAACTGAGGAATATCTGGAGCTTGCGAACCAGGTTTTAATTTCTGCTGCACCATTGACAGATCACTGTTTGATTTCATTAACTTTGACACCAGTAAGAAAAAATACTACTAAGAAAGACTATTGGAAGTTCAATGCAGAACTTTTAAAGGATAAAGTTTATTGTAGTCAAATTAGAAACCTAATTAGTGAGGTTGAGAATGATTTCTCTTTAAATTCCAGTGGGATTAAATGGGAGTACTTTAAATTTAAAACAAGGGAAATTTCTATTCGGTTTGGTAAACAAAAGAGAAGCGACATATTGCAAAAAGAATTAAGAATAATTCAGGAAATTAATGATTGCTGTAACACACGATAAGGTTAAAGATGTGGAAAAGTGAATCACTCTTCAAGCTAAATTAGACAGCATGTATGTAATGAAAGCACAAGGAGCTTTTGTAAGGTCTCGGGCAAAATGGATGGAAGAAGGAGAGAAGAACACAGCTTACTTTTGTCAATTAGAAAAGAGGAGACAGCAAAGTAATGCAATTCATACTATAGTTATTAAGGATACAATAATTACGGATTCTAAACTGATATCTGAGGAAATATATTCATTTTATAGTAATATTTATTCTTCATCATATTCTGAAAATTATGCTATTCAATTTCTAGAAAAGGTTAAAGATTATATCCCAGAGATAGATATTGAATTTAAAGAAATGTGTGATGAGGATTTGAAGCTAGAGGAACTTAAAGCAGCTATTAAAAAAATGTGTTTGGGTAAGTCTCCTGGTCAGGATGGTTTGACTACTAACTTCTACAAATTTTTTTGGGAGGATATAAAACATTTGTTATTTGCAGCATTAAAATAGTGTTTTAATTCTAATACTTTACTTACAACTATGAAACAGGGCTTAATTATTCTTATTCCAAAGGCAAACAAAGATAAAAGAATTATTGAGAATTTGAGGCCGATTACTCTACTCAATGTGGATTCTAAAATTCTTACATCTGCTATAGCTAATAGATTGAAATTTAGATTGAATCAAGTTATAAGTGAAACTCAGTCTGGTTTTATTAAAGGAAGGCTAATTCACAACAACATTAGACTTGTCTTAGATCTAATTGATTATGGACATTTAATTAAAGAGGATGGGTTTGTTTTATTTCTTGACTTCTACAAGGCATTTGATACTGTAGAACATAATTTTATTTTGAATTTTTTTTGGTTTTGGTCATAAATTTGTTAAAGTAATAGAAATGTTATATAAAGACATAAATAGTTCAGTATCATTACCATTTGGGACTTCGAAGAGGTTTAACATTAATAGAGGCATCAGACAAGGGGATCCAACAAGCCCATATTTATTTATTTTAGTAGCTGAATTATTAGCATTGTATGTTAAAAATTGCAGAGCTATCAGAACTTTGAATGTTTTAGGGAGTCAATTAATAATAAGTCAACTATCAGACGATACCACCCTGTTTCTCAGTAATGCAGAGCAGATTTCAGTTGCCATTAATCTGGTGTCTCATTTTTCAAATGCTTCTGGTCTGCAATTGAATTTAAAAAAATGTGAGCTTATGGCAATCCATAACCATACCGAAACACAACTGTTCAATATTCCAGTTAAAAATGAGGTAAAATACTTGGGTGTTGTTATTTCCAAAGACCCTAAAGATAGGGAAAAAGCTAATTTGATGGATAATTTGATAAAAAGTCAAAAAATATTAAATTTGTGGGTTCAAAGGGATCTATCTATTTTTGGTAGAATTGTTTTACAAAAGTCAGAAGCACTTTCCAGGATGATTTACCCAGCTTTTTCTTTAAGTATTTCTGATAGGTACGTTAAAAATCTGAATCAAATGCAATATAAATTTCTATGGAAAAATAAGCATCATTTTCTAAGAAAATCAGATGTAGTGAAACCAATCATTGAAGGTGGATTGAATGTAATTGATTTTGATGTTATGAATGGTACCCTTAAGCTGAAGTGGCTTCAAACCTTCCTTCGACATAAACATTCTTTCTGGTTTAGGTTTTCTTCTAAAATTTTTGATTTCTTTGGGGGCATAGACTTTCTTTTAAGATGTGATTTTGAGCCATCAAAGTTAAAGTGTAAATTGTCATCTTTTCATAGTCAGGTATTACTGTATTGGAAGTTAATATACAAACATAATTTTTCGCCACATAGCTGTTCTTTGTGGAATAATAAGTATATACTTATTAAGAGGAAATCTGTGTTTTTTCAAGAGTGGATGGACAAAGGTGTTTGGTCTATTTTACAAATTTTGGATGGGGTTGGAAATTTCCTTAATTATGATGATTTTTGTGAAAAATACCATATTATTTGTACTTAGAAATTGTATTTGTCTTTGTTGAAAGCTATTCCTGGTGGTTTGGTTCAGCTAATCAAAAGGGGAATTGGGTTATTCTTCTGTGATACCAAGATTGGGCAACCTTATTATTTCTGGTATTAATTTTACTGGGCAGAGCTGTAATAATAAGACCTTAAGAAGGTTAGTAAATACACAGCTTTTCCCTTCTAAAGTTAAGAAAAGACCCCTTGTTTTAGATTTTCCAGAAGACAAGGTGGTTCGAATTCGAACAAGATTTCTCTCTTTTCCACTTCTACCAAAGGCAAAAGAAGTTCAGTTTAAAATTATTAACGATATTTATCCTTGTAATGAGTTCCTCAGACACAGATTTAATTTGGATTGTAACGTTTGTACCTTTTGTGAAGCAGACATAGAGTCATTGGAACATTTGTTTTATTTATGCAAATTTTCAAAAAAGTTATGGGATGACATTACTGTTTGGTTAAGATTAAAATATGTAATACCTGATTTTGATTTTAAAACTGTAAAATATTTATCTTTTTGTCAGAATTCTGAGCTGGAATTTTTGGTTAACAATATTGTGACTTTGGCAAACTATTTCATTCATAAATGCAGATTTTTTAATAACCCCCCCACTTTTCTGCGTTTCCACAAGGATTTAATGGTCTTCTTCAATTCCTTAAAGCTGATGAGACATAAAAAAGCCCTTAAACTGTGTAGTCTGTTAAAGGCATTTTTTGATGATTAACCCCTTTGTATTATAGTGCATTGTATTTTGCTTTTTATTTATTTCAATTTTATTATTTTTTAATATATATTTATTTGCTTTTTTTATCTGTTTTTTGTGTGAATGCTGCTATTTGGACTTTCTAGATGAATAAGATGTTTCTTTGTTCGGTCATTTGTTCTTTTTTCTGTATGTTCTTATAAGATCTAATAAAAAAAACTAAAAAAAACTATTGCACCATCAAAAAAAAAAAAAAAAAAAAAAAAACTTTAAAACGGAAAAACAAATCGCCAATAGGTGGCAGCAAGAGACCGCTTTAATCGAGTGAAGCTTTAAGTGATTCATTCAGCCACGAATCACTGATTCAGTGACTCGCCCGACTTTATACAGAGTCCTGAATCATTCGTGTAAGGAAACGCCACTGTGTATTATTCAGAGATGGCCAACTGTTCTGCTGTTTATTTTATTATTATCATAGTAATTATTTCACTATTATTAATGAGAAAATAACGCGGAAGTTTTTAGCGCCTCGTCACGTGATCGTCAGCATCCATGGCAACGGTTCTTTTCGTGTTGTTTTGAACTTGCTCTGTCATTGGCATCTGATCTCGGCGTCCTTCGTGGCAACTGATTCCCAGATTATTGATATTATTGATTGTTGGATACATCGATTGATCGCCTGCTGCTCCCTTCATTCAGGTTTGACCCTTGTTATCACACTGTGTTTTGTGTTTAGTATGTCTTGTGTTCATTACAGGTTTCAGAGTCGACTCACCTACGACTCGCTCCAGTTTGAGGGCCTCAACATCACTGTGGGAGAGCTGAAGCGGCAGATCATGAGGCGCGAGAGGCTGAAGTTCTGCCAGCTGAAGATCAGCAAAGCCCAAACTGATGAAGGTGAGATGAGGAAAAGCCACTTAAACTATACTACACTAACATTAGATGTGTTATCAGACAGACTTGTAGAAGCTGACATGTGTTATCATGACTCTGATGGTGACATATAGTGATGTTTTGAGTGTTTTAAAATGCTAATGGCACTCAAAGTATACCATGGTAAATGATTATTGCTATATTCAAACTTTATTTTGCTGTCAGAATACACAGATGATGATGCTCTCATCCCCAAAAACACATCTGTCATCATCAGACGGGTCCCTGCGGCTGGACTGAAGTCCTCCAACAGAAGATTTGTTGGGTAAGTCATGTGAAATGAGCGCAACCATCCTCTGATAGATGTTATATCAAGAGTTTGAGTCTGTCTGTGGTGTTTTAGTCACACAAGCTCCTTTGTTTTGCAGACATCAAGCTGGACCATCAGCTAAATCTTCTCAAACAGGTGATTCTTCACTCCTCTCACTGGAGCAGCTGTTGAAGGTATTGAACAAATGATTAATTCACCCCACTGTGCTGCTCTGTATTGAACTGCAGTGTTTGCATTTGAGGAGTCATAATGACATGTAGTGCAGAATATCAATACACAGTGTAAAACACCCCCCCCCCCCCCACACGCACACACACACAGCTTCTTAGACAGACCAGTAAAATAAAATTCTAATGTGCAAATGCCTGTGAAACAGACTGAGAATCTGGCTGAGGCAAAGGCATCAGAGGAGGACAAGCTAAAAGCGGTGATGTACCAGTCCAGTCTGTGCTACTACTCCAGCAGGTGAGCGTTCAGACACTGACAGGTTTGGTTTGTGAGAAATGTTAGAGCTGATTCTCATGGTTCTGATGTTCATTAGTGAGGCCATGACACTGCTTGGGCTTCTTCCACCCAACTATGTCTGCTTTCACTGTGGGATCCCAGGACACCACATTAGGCACTGCCCCTCTAAAGGGGTAACTGGGTTTTCTAAGCTTATGGTTGCTGTGAACTTGAGCTCTTGTCTCCATCAGTCAGATTGTTTGCTCTGTAGTTTGACTGTCACTCATGAATTCACAGGGCAGCAGCTCTGCTTCACAAAAGCGCATCAGGAGGAGCACAGGGATTCCCCGCAGCTTCCTGTTGGAGGTGGACGACCCAAACCGAAAGGGAGTCATGATGGACGGCAGCGGCAAATACGTCATTCCCATCATAGACGCGTGAGTAAACTGTACTTGGGATTGCAGCATGTTTTAGTGTTTGTGAAAATCTCACATTATGTCTGCTTGTGTGTGTTTGCGCTCGATCTGTTCAGTGAGGCCTATGCTGCTGAGAAGAAAAAGAGGCCGTCCTTCTCCTGCCAGACCAAGCCACTATCCTCCTCTTCCTCAGCTGGTGCAGCATCTTCAGTCCAGGACGCCAGAGGGAAACGTTCCCGTTCCCCATCTTCACCAGAGACGCACGGCGACCAGAAGAGACCACGTCACTGAGAGACCTTCACTCAAGAGACCTGGAGCCGACGTGAGCACAGTGTATATATTGTACATAGTTTATGAATAAAACTGAATAAAGATTATAGCAGCATAAACTGTGGACTGGTTGACCTTCACACAATACAGAAACACAACAGAAAATGATCAACACATTAAGATAGAAATGATGAACAAACATGCTGCGGGAGAACCAGTGTGCTGTCCTGCTCACAATCTAAAACTTTTAGTTAAAGTTTATTTCAGAGGTGCTTCAGGGAAACTTTTTCTTATGAAAGGCCAAAAACTAAACTCGTCTGAGGGTGGTGGGCTGGAGGTAAATCTACCAAACTGTAAAATTGTCAATGTAATTTCCTAATTTATTATTATTATTCATTATATAATTTACATGATTCACTGAATACTGTAATTTACAACATTTCAAATTCTTTAATTGTATTAATAATTATACATTTTATAATGAACGAAAGTCTTACAATAAAACATGAACAATCCCATTTATAACACTTAAAATACACTTTGCCTTCGCTTGCTGATGTCTTCTGTAATGTCTGCTCTCCTTCAAGTGACTATTATTTTATTTGATTCATTCACAACATTTCATTGAAACGTTTAATTTCAGTTTGTTTATTTTTGTATCTCAACAGTTAAAAAACAAAGTTATGTTGTATTAGAAATGACAATCTCTGTTAAAGACTTTCCCCCAAAACTCCCCATCATTCTCCCTCTCTTCTCAGATGGGATGGAGGGCCAAATCAAAGGTTACCGTGGATCCACTTTGGCCCACGGCCCTAGTTTGGGCATCTCTGGTTTACACCGATGACATGCTCATCTAATCAATCGTGGCCAAACAAAATGTTGCAGCTCATGTGGTCTTCAATGATCCCAAGAGAGCCCACGTCACACCTCTCTTACCTCTCCAATTACACTGGCTGTCAGCTGAAGGTTCAAAACATCTCCACTTGCTACTTGCTACACTTGCCCCTCTGTCCAGAAGTGAGCACTGCCTCTTAGAACCATGCCATCTAGGATTTGGGGGTGTTTAACCCTTCTGTGCTGTTGGTGAAGTTTTGGTCCACTCTGGGCTGATTTTGAGGCTTAATTTACCAACAACTTTCTCTGTGGTTCAGCAAATGGTATGATTTTTGGTGACAAATCTTGTTGACACATATTTTGGGAAAATACATTTAGAATTTTTTAAAAACTCAACAATACACTCTGAGCAAATTTACCACCCTTTCATTGTGTTCATGGCTGTTTTTGCCCAAATGATTTCCATTATTTTTAAATGCAACGTCATGACAGCGTATAATCATGCATTCTTGATTGTTGGTGGTTTTTCCTGTTGGGAAGAGGTAAGATTTGTGATTTTTACTGGTGATCATCAGTTACAGTTCAAAAAAGCTTGATTTCTTGCTTTTATTTGGTGTTTAGTGAGTGTGTGAGGTTGTAAGAGAGACTTTTACACACATATATTGATGTGTAGGAGAAAATACAAAATAGGCACCTCAGCTGTCAGAACATAGTAAACATAGTAAGTGTACTTATGCATGCACTCTATAAATTGCAGTTTTACTCCACAGAACTCCATATAAAAGTCAGACACGCTTTTGCACAGGGCAATGTAAAGGATTTAATGGTGCCAACTGATGATCAACAGTACAAATGAAATTTGACCTCTTCCTAAGTGGGAACCCACTAACCAGAGTTGGTGCTGGTCAAAAGGAGACCCTAAGATAATTTTTACTGCAGTGCTTCAGCAGAGAAACAAAAACACACAAACATATGTATTTAAATGTGTATTCATTTATTATATATAAAAATATGCATATAAACACTCAACATTAAATGTTTCATAAAATAACAGTTTACGTAAAAATAAACACTGACATGTCTTCTGCAGAAGGATTCCTAATTGCAAATATTTACAAAGGTTGTCATAAAACCCTGTCTGAAGCTGTAGAGATAGACGGTCCTCGGTGCTGCATGCTGTATCTGTAATGGTCAGCTGCTGGGCCCGGTTTTTCAAAAGGTTTAATCCGGATCAAATTGATCCAGATTTAGTAATTCTGTTTTTGCGATCCGTGATCAGGTAATCCAGCTTACTTTTTGAGCCAGTTTTTCAAAGCAACATCGAATTGGATCAATCTGATCCGGATAGGAACTTTTCAGGATCACTAAATCTGGATTACCGGTGCTCAAACAGGATAGGAAATCACTATCCAGATTTTTTGGATCAAAATGATCCAGATCCTACAAAAAAGATCTGGAAAAACCCAAACTAAAGGTTTGATCTGGATCAAAACCAAGATTGGATTACGTGATCTAATCTGATTATGTAATTCGTTTTTTCTTTTAAAAAACCCATTTTCAAGATTTGATCCAATCCCTTATCCAAAATCCTAGTGGATTACTTTTAAAAAACCTGGCCCTGGGCCCGTTTTTTCAAAAGGTTTAATCCGGATCAAATTTATCCAGATTTAGTAATTCTGTTTTTGCGATCCGTCATCACGTAATCCAGCTTACATTTTGAGCCAGTTTTTCAGAGCAACATCGAATTGGATCAAACTGATCCGGATAGGAACTTTTCAGGATCACTAAATCTGGATTACCAGTGCTCAAACAGGATAAGAAATCACAATGTAGAACTATAGATATGTAAAGAGCGACAAGTAGAATAGCCAGCGTGGGGTCAACATAACTTTATTTTTTTTAAATGAAAATTTAATAAATATTAAATTAATTATAATAATAAATAATAAAAGCAAGAAAAACAACACCGCATCCTCTTCCAGCAGTCCACTCATCTGAGACCTGAAACACTGTACATTGAGGATATTTATAATAAGTTTCAAATATAGATGTAAATAAAAAAAAGACTTAATGTCAAAAACTCCACAATAATCTCAGACTTCCTCATCTGATGTGGAGAGAGCAGCTTGTCTGAGCGTAGCCTTTAGGAGGCGAATCTCAAGTCCTTGGCCTTGGTTTGCTGCAGTTAGGTCAGAGTCAGTTGTTCCCCCGCCAGACGAAGCTGTGCTTCTGCCCTTTCAGTCTCTTTTTGCAATTGTTGAAAGAGATTTCAAAAATCAGTCATTGCCATTCTTTGCATTTTTTGTTATTCTGTAATCATTGCATGCATCACTAATAAATATTCTAAAAAGAAAAATATTTTTCATTGTGATGAATATATATATCAATTAGAGACAAAATAAAATTGATTGTTTTTGGTCAATTTTCACAGCTGTTTGGGGGATTATGTTATGAGGCCAAACTCTTTCTATGTTGCTGGAGGCCTATACTGAAAGGCTAAATACATTAAAGCCAATAATCACTATAGCCTGACGGATGAACAAATAAAATTAAAACCTTATGAATAAATAGTATATATCGTAAGATACTGCATGATCCAAAAATAGTATTATTTTATACATTTTTTAAGTTTTCATTACATTTTAGGCATGAAATCCACGCTAAATCCACCCTTCTGATGGGATCAGTTTAATCCAGGTTTTTTGGATCAAAGTGATCCAGATCCTACCAAAAAGGTCTGAAAAACCCAAACTAAAGGTTTGATCCGGATCAAAACCAAGATTAGATTACGTGATCTAATCCGATTAGGTAATCCGTTTTTTTCTTTTGATAAACCCATTTTCAAGATTTGATCCAATCCCTTATCCAAAATCCTAGTGGATTACTTTTGAAAAACCGGGCCCTGGTGTCAATTTTCAAAACTCTAGATACAAAATTCACAACCATTGCTAAAATTGCACATTTTTTTGCAAAACCCTTAACTCTTTTTTCAAATGCTTGGATAAAACACACACAAGTCAAAAATACTTTGTTCATTGAACTCAGATCACCTTTTCAATATAACACAATTAAACTTCAAATTGATCCCATTTCAAAATGCAACTCAAACATTACAATTGAAATAACCATGTATTCATTTACTTCACATGATGTTATTATCAACTGATACAAGCACTCAAAATAATAATTAACTGTTGCATTACTCTGGATGTATGGAAACTTTTGTACAATATTACATGTTTAGATGATGAAATAATCAGGATAGATCAAATGACATCAGTTACCACAGAAGATGACCCAACTGAACTACATTATCTATAGATGACATCTTTATTCATCCTTAATTTTTTATATTTATGGTTACTTTGTTCCATGTACCACTTTTACAGACAATGTTTTTATATTTGACATTACTGTATGTATGTGAGAAAGCCCAATCACAGCAATATCAGGCCTGGATTCACATTGACAGAAGGTTCTTTCCAAGATTTTTGACTTATGAAAACACCACTGTGATGTAGAGGAGAACCAAACCCACAAGACCAGAAAGATGGAAACCCAGATCCTAAAATAGAAATCTGATATATAGAAATATATGCAAATTACATATGTGACATAATAGTTCATAAGAATTTTACATATATAAAATGTCATACATGTCAAAATATTGCCATTTTTTACAGTTTTTCTTGTTTGCTTTGACCTGGTTAAAGAAACTAGGTTCCACTTCATTTTCATTTTCACTATCCCAGCAGAGCAGAAGACAGGTCTTGCAAATTTGTAAACCTTTTCTCATTGGGTTGACACATTTTCCTTAGCATTTTTCAAAACAGTTAACACAGATGTCATTCAAGCAGTCCAAACTCCATTGTTTTAGCTATGGTAACCAAACAGAGACCATCTATTCCTAACCATTAGACACTACCAAGATCAGTTTGAATTCACTGAAGCAGCGATTTGAAACTCCTACACTCAAGTCTTCAATTAGCAATCAGTCTGCAAACCTTATATAAATGGTGGAAGGTCAGTGTTGTTCTGTGCCAGCATGGATGGAGGAGGTCAATAGTGGCTATGTCCTATACTCCCAAAAGATTTGACTGTACATTGGTTTAAATGTGTTTAATATTTACAGTATTTTATTATTTTTGTCTGTTTTTACAGTATTTTAGTTTTCAGCCACAGTTTGAAAATTGTCATGAATTCAATATAAATTTAATCAAAGCATTTCTTATTCTGGATCCAATTCTTTGCAAAAATGCAAACTTGACGGCCCAAATAGAAAGACAACAAATGGCATTGGCAATAGGCTACAATGACAATCAATGGTGGTGCACTGACTTCTATATTTTGTATTTTGTTGTCCATTGTGTAATGATTAATTCAAAGAGCTCATATATTTGTTTGCAAGTTGTGTTGTTTGAAGGTAAAACTAGCTTTTGTTTCATATTTTAAATGTTTTGACACGATATGTGCCTTTTGCAAGCAAAATGTGTCATTTTGACCATGAGTGCTGCTGTTTAGGCCTGTGTGTCTACTGTTTTGAAAAGGTGGAGTTTCAGTTGACAACTGTATCCAAGCAATCGAGAAAAACTGTGACT